ATATATCCAAAGAGTGTATATGGACGCATTTATGCTAAATGGAACTATGTGCAAGTTGAAAGATGGGGTGTGCTCATTAGTGGAGGGCAATAGGAATGCATGGGAATTTTAAAGCGCCAGTGACGTCAGCGGTGACAACCGGGCCCGACGACGAGTTCTTCGTTAGGGCGCTGTAACTCATGATCCCTGTTCACAACGGTCTTGTCACATCTTAATGGCTCACGAGTTAGCCCTCCGTTCTTTTTGATGTAATGTAAAATCCCGTTTTTCCATTTCCGCAAAAGGAACTATATCCACTTTATATTGTTTCTTATGCAGCTTGCACGAGCGCACCCTATCTTTCCACTTCCACATAGTTCCCTCTAGCAAACATACATCCATGTGCGCATTCTAAAAATATGCACTTGGAATTACTGCCGATTTTTTTAAATTAAATACTCTATTTTTCAGATGATGTTGCTTGCAATTCCGCCTAAAGTTCCTGAAAATTTCAAGGAAAAATATTCATAACTTTCCTCAAAAAGAAGCATTTTATGGAAGGAAATTTGGCAACTCTCGAATGTTCATACGGCGTTCTTCCTTGGCACGGCAGTGTACCGCTAAGCAGATTGAATGTATCCTGATGTTCCAAGTGATGTCATGTCAACAAATAACCTACACCCCACTGTTTGATAATAATCAAGAGAAAACTCATCCTTAGATGAGACTGCAGCCATTGTAATTACTCAGAAAGCTTCTAATCACACTTAATTTCCAGTTAATAGTGAGGGCTAAAAAAAAAGGCCACAGCATAAAGAATGATCAGAGCGAATTGGAGTGTGAGTTTCGATGAAAACACCGTTTCAAGGTTGAACAAAAAATGTATAAATTTGTCTCTGTAAAAATCTATGATGTACAAATCTATAGTGTAAAATTACCTAATATGATCTACAATATAATCTTAAATAATTTAAATACAATCTGATATAATCTAAAATTCTTAATGAGCCATTGAGCCACGAGAGAAGGAAATTTGAGCATTCGATGCTCTAAGATTGCGAAAACATTAAATAATGCGTAGTCTTTGTAATAATTTATAAAACCAGGGAATCTTAGCTCTCCCTGGAGAGAGACTCTCCAAAGAATTCCAATCATACCGCCATGCTAAGGAAAAACGTCGTATGAACATTCGAGAGTTGCCAAATTTCCTTCGATACAATGTTTATTTTCGAGGCAATTTATGAATATTTCCCCTTGAAATTTTCAGGAACTTTCGGTGAAATTGCGTGCAGAATTATCTGAAAAATCGAGAGGAAAATATTCCTAATTTACCAGGAAATTCTTGTTTTATCAAAGGCAATTTTGCAACGCCTGAGGGCTCATACCTACTGCGTTTTTCCTTAGCACGGCAGCATAATGGTTCAATTGGCCTGATTACACGCTCAAATTTCCGTCAAACTCCGATCAAAAAGATGACCAAGATGGCGGTCGAGAGTTATCTAGATTGATGAGTAAAATTAATTAAAACAGCGTGTTGATTGGAGTAAGCATGAAATAAGCACGGTTGTGTGGAAATCAGATGAGGGATGAGCCCCACAGCTCCATCATCTACCATCAAATTTTTGCAGGCCGCAGAAATTTGATGGTAGATGGTGCGCACCAGTCACCATTTGATCAGAAATTGATGGAAATTTGATAGTGTAACCATAGCAAACCGAAAAATTCGCACAATATGGAAGAACAAGGCAACGGTGGCTCAGGTTGGAACGAGGCGCAAACTGACTCCGCGGTTGTAGTCAAAGGCTGAGAGGCCCCGTCGTTAGGACTAATGACAAGTAGATGGGTCGACAAAAAACCGGGAAGCAGGGTCCTTTATGACGGAGGTGGTCAGAAAACAGTGCCACCAAATTTGGCTGCCGTTTCCGAGAATACATCACTTCTAACTTTTCCTGTTTGCAACCGCAGTATTTTTACACTTTCAAGGGGGAAATCGTTGCAGTCCAATCAATCATTCGGTAAGAAAAAGTTTTCGAACTTCTGATAACACAAATTAAATGGAAGAGATCTTTGAGATTTTGGATAAATTACCGTTGTATTATAAATCAATTTCCAAAATCATTACTAGTGGCAATATACCACGATAAAGAGATTTTCGGTGCGTGAGGAGACAAAAGCTTCACATTTGAAAGGATTGATCAGTTTTGAGAGTGATTTGGTTAAAAATCACACAACCACATACGTACTATTTGGTAAAGCACATCGTCCCTTAAGTTCCAATTAAACTTGCAATTGTCTAATTCATCAGGATTGTTTGCAAACAAACATAATTATTTTACGAGTACCTAATGTTATAATACCGATGAGGTAAACGTGATGCAAACCTGCATACTCTCAGCCTATGAGTTATCTCCTTGACGTAACAGTACTTTCCTCCCAACAAAGAAGTGTCAACGTACGCGTTTCCTTTAGTATAAAGAAACAACTAAAATTGGGACTAAAACCGCAAATAATAGAGAGAACACATACAATTTTATTTTATTTTATGTGTTCTTTTTATTATTTGAGGCCTTATAGTCCCGATTTAAGGTGTTTCTTTATCAGTGTTTCGGGCCGATTACGTTGTTTCTTCTATTCTTTAGTATATTGAGCGCAAGTTCCCAAGGTTAGAACCGATGCTACCGAATGTTACCATTGTTTCAGCAATGCTTTTTCACGTTTCAGAAATGTTTTTCATGTTTCAGAAATGTGGCCCCGACAAAAAAGTAAAAGAATCACCTGCGTTTTAACGGCGCTTGGGCAGGACGTCGGATATAAGAATAATAAAAGCACTGACAACTCTTGGATCCTTTTTTACTCTCAGGTCGAAGGACCGCAGATCTCATGCTCAGGGCTTTGGCACTTGCACCAGTCGGTCTCACTGTCACTTGATTCTGAGCATCATTATGCAGAATCTCACGAAAAACTCACGTCTCCTTGACGCCCTGTTTTCACCCTCGAACTTACAACAAGGCTCACGCAAGAGCCTTTAATGGAGGGAGGAAGTAGATTAAAGCCACTTAGTCCGAAACTGACTTTACTAACGATCCGTGATTCGGCCGCCCCCATCCTCCCCCAATTCCGTTACGATTGTTTTCGTGTCGTTCTCGCGAGAACATTAACGTAAAACAATGATCTCGAGGAATTTCCGGTCAATCTCTGCGTCTAACTTCGAGTCGACTTCATTCGCGTTCCAATTAAGAGTCACATGCGACGAATCAATACGATCAAAAGTAATTTTTATCGTCTTAATTCTCCAAAATGTTTAAAAATAAATGAATTTGGTGGAAAAATGCCTGTCTCTTTCTCTCGGCCTTTGGACGAGCTTAGAATTCGGAATATCGGTCCACTGGTCTGCTGCGGAAGTCCGCTTACCGGACCGTCCATTCTCCGCGCGAATCAACAAATGTAACTTTATCTGAACCGACTAAATCACGTAAACGCCAAAATGGCAAATGCGAGAAACACAAGAAAAACTGTTTTAACACTTTTAACATCAATGCTGCAGACTCTTGATATCAGCTGCAAATCAGGTATTGTCACACTGAGAAAAAACTGTGATTATAATTACTATATTAGTGGTGTTCAATATGCACTCTTAATTAGTAGTGGCCATAACCAATAATAGTGATGTTTTTACTGGAGCGATCATAATTTTACAAGTGTGCGGTAGTGCAATTACCATGAAATGGTAAAAATACCTCTATTATTGGTTATGGCAACTACTAATTAAGAGTTTATATTAAACACCACTAATATGATAATTATAACCATAATTTTTTCTCAGTGCACGACTGTGAAACCAGCAGGTCCTGTGACTGCATTTTAGATATCATCATTAGTGGCATCAACTTTTAACCACCGTGACCAGATTTCAAATAATTTCAAAGAGATCTCAGATAAATTTTTAGTGGTCTTTAAAAGAAAAAAAGTGTATCGTAAATCTGCAATGTCATGAATTGAGACGTATGGCTTTGTAGTTTTACCGCCGATACGCAAAATAGAGGACGCAGCCTTTGCCTTCGTTTTTTGCTCCACACAAACACCTCGTTTGTGCACAAAGTCTGGCTTGTGGCTGCCTCCTCGTTTGGAACAAATGATTTTGTAATTCATCCTTTCCTGGAGTAGTATGAAATATTGAACGTACCCTGATTCTATATCGGGTAAATTTTATACGAAATAAAAACGTAGAAAAAATTAAAACTGAATTACAACATCACTGAACGCATTTGAGAATACTGCAAGAGAGGTTGAATTAAAATAAGGAGAAACTCGCATTTAAAACGCATTAATCTCCATACCGCAGTGCGTGCTAACGGAAAACAGGTGGATTAATTAGGGAACGCAGAATTTGCTCAAGCGACAGGACTGAAATCGAATCTCATTCTGATCGGCGTTGACCAAATAAGCATTCAAAGCCAGCAAAATGAGAGTATGTCACTAAAGCACTGGATACACAAACGGGTAGAATAAATTGGTCTTCATTTTGCAATGAGGAGCTACTATTTTTGGATTATCCTTAAAATCACGTATCTACCCCGGGAGATGCACGACACAGATCTTAAAACGAGTCAGAAATAGTAATGCCATATTGCAAAATAAATAAGTCCAATTAAGGTTCTCGAGAGTTCCGGGCTGTGTCGTCCACTGTAATGGTTTTTAAAATCATCCAGAGTGGATCCACGGACAGAAAAAAATTAAAGTAGAATATTACGATTACGGAAAAGATTAAAAACGTTCTTCTCAAGTGCCTGAAATTGTTTTAAAACATTTTACGGAGCTTGTCATGAAAATTAAAATAATATGAAATAAAAAAATATAAAAATTTTACATATAGAATATGAAACTAAACTAAGTGTATATAAATAAAAAATATATTCTCATAATAAATATAAAAATAAAAGAATATGAAACATAATAAATATAAAAATGAATATTTTTATAATATATATAAAAATAAAAGAATATGAAATGTATTTCCCCCGGTTTGGGTTCGTTACGTAACGCTGGGCTTGGCACTCTTCCGCCTTGTAACGCCTCCTGAGGCTGGCTCAAACCTCCCTCCCCCTTAAGTGCATTACGTAATACTTGAACGACCCCTTATGTGTTGATTTTGGGTATTGATAGTAATTTAAGGTGTTAACCATGCAACAATGATGAGGAAAGTCCTACAGTGCTTGAAGTTTAATCATTTGCATCCGAGGGCTCAAAGGAGATATCCTTTGTCTTCCGCTGTCTTATGGGTGATGAACGGCACATCGTAGCGGTCGAGCCACTCATGGAAGCTTTTCGGTGACCAAATCATCTTGAGCCACAGCTTGCGCCACTGTAGCTTGTTGTCTTTTAAATATTCTTTCAGGTGTTTTGCTAAGTGACAGATACAGATCTTGCGAAAATACACGACACCATAAGTGAGCTCCTTCCCGTATCTTGGAATGTGTCGCCCGAAATATCCGTACTTTTGGAAGCAGTGGTCGTTGCATTTGTCATCCGTCATGGTGCACGATATTTTGACGACTGTGACTAAAAATTCAAGACTTTTATTAGTGTTCGTCGCACGCTAGAGGAAATCGCTCACTTTAGATTATTTTCACACGAAGATATACCTCATTCAAATTTCACATGGAAAATTATGACCCGAAACACTATTCCGATAATTTAAGGTATGTGTACTTAAATATGGAGAGTACAAAAATGTCGGTAATTTTGAGGTTAGGTTATGGAGCTTTTAAGGCCCAAAAAGGCAGCCAACTTATGCATCAAATTATCCAGAGTGATTTATCATTTCAGTTTTTACGACCCGTCGTCTGTAAAGCAAGCAATTGATTTCAGCACAAAACTCATTTTTGCCGAAGAACGCTCATTTATGAACATTCTTGGTTATGAACATTATTGGTTTGATATTGGAATCTAAAGATTTGCAGTAATGTTTTGGTGTCAGAAAGGTCCCTGTACAGACTTTACTTTAAGGGCTCTAAAAATCAATTTATTCGCAATTTAAAAGCGTAATATATACATGCTTCGATGCAGATATCAAACCAGTTTTTAAGTAAGAGAATACTAGTTACTACCTACCGTTACCTGCCTCAATGCAGACATAAATTTGGCTATACAGCAGGAGAGCACCAAAGAAAGCACAGATAAAACAATTCATTCTTCAGAGAAAAACTGTTTGGCATTAGCACTAGCACTGTCATGTTCATCGCGACCGCACTTATCAGTTGTGTTGAGCGAACGTAAAATTTGCGACCACTGAACACATTGTTTGCGATGAGCGAATCTTCACCGGCGCATGTTTGTCTGCAACACCTCTCCTGTGTGGAAACATCTCGAACACGCAGTGACGATATCTACTTTGCTCTTGACACACGTATTTGCATGATGAGAGCATGATGTAGGGGTAACAAAAAAAATCAAAGGACAAAAAAATTTAAGCGGCACTCTCGATGCGGTTCAGTTTGTGCGTCAATAGTTTTCCTAAATTTTCACTCGCTAAAATTCTTTGAAAAATTCTAGTGACATGTGCTTCCTAAAAGCTTGAGACAAAGCCAGTAGCTCTTTTGCAAGTTGGCAACACTGATTTTCCTCCATTTAAATCCATTAAAAATAAAGCTGTCTCGCAAAAAATCTGTTGATCAACATACACTCAAATGGAGGGAAAACAGTGTTGTCAATTTTCAAATATCGCCACATGACAAAGCGTTGCTCCTCAAACGAGAGAACATGACGACGATCGCTCTATCTGTGAACTGAGACCGCAAAAGAAATTAATGTTACGTGGTTCGAGGTTCTGCATCGTTGCAATTAAAATAATCTTTTTCCTTTAATCAATCTTGAAAACTGGGCAAGGAATCAGAAGCGCCCGACTGATTTCAAACAAAATCAAAGAAAATTTCGACCCGATATTTTCGTTCATTCTATTTTCTTCATTATTTTCATCAACAACAAAAATTTAAACATCGTTCAAATTTCTGAATCCCTGCAATGAAGATCAGAAGCGGACTGTTTCCTTGAGGCGGTCGGGGAAAATTAGCGGAAAACATACAGGATTGCAAAATCTCCACCATCCTATAATCATAGAATTGCAAGCTCGCGGTGTCCACTGTTCGGAAATTTTGCACACGTTTGACACCAAGAAAATACGACTTTTCAACGATTTGAGCGCGCACCGCGGTTTATGCGCATAATGCATGAAGTATCCTGCAGACTTGTAAGGCGCTATACTACGCGTTGCGCGCACCGTGCTGTACGCGCAATGCATGAAGTATCCTGTGGTCTTGTAAGGCGCTATGCTACCCGTTGCGCGCACCGTGCTGTACGCGCAATGCATGAAGTATCCTGTGGTCTTCTAAGGCGCCATACTATGCTTGCGCGTCAGCCGCACTGTGTTTTATATGATTATTCAAACTTGCGGAGTCGGCCGGTTTCAACTTATGATTTTGAAGTTTTTGTAATGTTTGTTAGCATTGTAGTAATTTCAAATGATAAAACATTACATAAAACTCAACTAATTTTCTTCTCTTTATTTAAATATGCTGCAATTTCAGTTGCAGTCTCGATTACTGATAGCAAAATTTCAACTCAAAAATATAAATTATCTTTTCAAAATCAAACTGGCATATTATGCTGCTACTTAATGAACGTTGCAAAGAAGATTTTGTTGAGTAAAGCGTGATGAATTTCATAATTGCCGTATAGCTTGGTTTGAACCGGGAAAATCAGCATAGAGGTCAAGGGAGCTCTCGAGCTCTCCGTCACGAATATTATTTTTCAAGAATATTAGCAGGAAGCTAAATCCTAGATTAACCCACAAAAAATGTCAGTTTAAAAATTGCAAACGCTTTATTAAAGAATTTATTCAAGTGAATGCAGAGATTGCCTTTTTCATAGATTTTTGTCGAAGCTCCGTCGGTTCTCAACCGTCGTAAAAATTTGGTCTCGATCAGAATGGCATAATTTACGATTCATTTTTTGCTTGCCGGTCCTCATTAATGTTAAAGCGTCGTAAATAAATTCTGAGCCTTGGGACGAAGCGTCGAAAAGAAAAATTATTTCCGAGGTAAACGGTAGAATGGTTGACTTTCTCCAATGGATGCCGCGTTTGTTTGCTTCAGCTCATCTTTTACGGAATGCACGTTTCACCTGCACTGTGGTATACAGAGCTGACAATTTATAAATTTAATACTGTACAGCGGTGAATATCTCAGGGCATTGATTTCAGATCAGGTTGGACGTACTGAGTCGTAAAACGAAATTCATATTTTTGATGGAAACGTAATCTAGTTTCTCAAAAATGGTTATGGACGTATTTTAAAAATAAATTATCTAAAAAAAGATTTAATGAAATAAACTTTATGCGGGTATTTGTTGGTCCACAGTACCTTTGGAATTAATTCATTTGTGGAAAGTTCAGTTCAGACTGATGACTTCAGATATCCTTTGGGGCTTTTTCCCTGGGACAAATCCCGTGAAAAAGTCCCCCCTCGGGACAAAGCCTAATAATACGTTCTGAGTAAAATTTTCTCACGAAAACTCGCTGTTTGGCTTAATTTCTTACCCTGTTGGATGGCTTATTCACGCATAACGTGAGGGATATCCGAAGGCGGAAATTAGCTTTCACTTCCCGGGCCGAGCCCACTTTGCGGGGAGTTATCTTGGCGCCAACTTATCGCCGTGAAGTATGAAGCATTTTAATCAAACTCCCGCAGGACGCGAAGCCTCGGCCGCGAGGAGCGAGCGGGCAAATGGAAATGAGCCAATCATGCGAGAGCTCCGGGTGAGAATCGAATAAAATAAGTCGCTGCGTTTCTCAAGTGCCTCACCCCTTCTGGATCCTTTCCGACTCACCGAGTCGGTGCGCCCAGCGCCTTGCCGTTTGCTTTCAATTACGATGCAGCCAACAGGCGAGTACTGACGTGCTAAAGAAGAACACCGTAAGAGCCTTCAAACGTTGCCATATTTTCTTCAAAAAAACTTTATTTACTGGGAAAATTGTGAATATTTTTCCTCAAATTTTTCAGACAATTTTGTTCGCAGTTCTATCTACAACGTCTGAAAATTTCGAAGTAAAATTCGCATAATTCCCGTAAAAATACATGTTTTATCCAGGGCGATTTGGCAACTCTCGAATGTTCGTACGGCGTTCTTCCTTAGCACGGCAGAATAATGCTCTCCCGGCTCAACTTCACGTGGGGTAGGCCGCTGCCACGCCGCGCCGCTTTCTCGCCTGGGCTTAGGGCCCGTCCACAAGGAAAAACGAATTGACGCTTTAACAATTAAATTGTCAAAAAATATTTCCAATGCATGAAATATCCTACAGACTTGTGAGGCGCCATCCTAGCGCAGTTGGCACCATTGGCAACGTCATGGCAGAAAGATGGCCATGCGTCATGGCCATTCTGATGTTGAAGATATCCTGTCGCATTTCATTTCGTTGAAAGACGAATGGTCATCGCTTTTCTCTTCGCTTGAGTTCCATTTATTATTTAGTTAAATGACTCCTGCTTCTTAATTTTTAATTATTCTGCAAAAACTATCCATTTGCGAAATACAATCCTGGCTTTAGCACCCTTAAACTACGGCCTTAACAGTCGAAACTGCAGTAGCGGCACAAGAAAACCGAAAAACCAAGCGGTGACGCTACTTCAATGTTGAGCTTCCATCGCGCTGCTAAGGCGCAGAGATACAACTATTTGAACTCTCCGGAACGCGTAAGGTATCACGCTCAATTGAAGGCGTTTTCGAATCTTTTGTATTTACATGACGGGATTTTCCAAATTGCTTTGCATTATACTCTTGATTTGAGTTCCATTTTTTATTTAGTTAAATTACTCCTGCTTCTTAATTTTTAATTATTCTGGAAAAACTATCCATTTGCGAAATACAAGTCTGGCTTTAGCACCCTTCAACAACGACCTTAACAGTCGAAACTGCAGTAGCGGCACAAGGAAACCAAAAAACCACGCTACTTCAATATTGAGCTTCCATCGCTCTGCTAAGGCGCAGAGATACAACTATTTGAACTCTCCGGAACGCGTGAGGTATCACGCCTCAATTGAAGGCGTTTTCGAATCTTCTGCATTTACATAACAAGATTTTCTGGTTCCATTACATTCGGAGCGTGGAAGAAAGGGAATGACTGATCTTCTGAGCTACTGCTATGGTTGCTACGGTTAATGTTGGTTATTTCGATACAATCACATCAATAGAGCCTCATTTTTTTCATATTGGTTGAAGGATTTAATATGATTCTTTAAAAAATAATGAAAATGACAAAAAAGGTTAATTTTTTTTTTTTTTGAAATGGTAAAACTGAAAATCTCAAGATTTGAAAAAGAGCAAACTGCTATTCCGAGATTAACATTTCAATTTTGTCATTCCAACATTCAAACTCAAAAAAAAAAATCAGTATCGCAATCAATAATTCAAATACAATTTTCTTGAGAATTCAGACCTTTTCCCGAGTAAAATCCAATAAAACCACATACACGATGGCGCGGAATTGATAAAACCGGAACCACTACAGCGCGTCGAGCCCATCAATTCATGCTGCATAGGAGACAAACGCAAATGCAAGCACTCAATTAATCCCCCGACCGAAACGATTGTTACGAAAGGATTTAGTCCGAACGCGCTCGGTCCCTGAAAGCTGGGAGGCGACAGCTGCGGTCGGAGCCCCGGACGCCACCCCCGCACGGGCTGCGGTCCGCGATGAGTGGATAAAGATTTGGGTTTTAATAGACATGCCGAACCAGCCAATTCTGCGCCGGTCAAATCTTGTTGCAGCAACTGTTCGCCCGGAGAGCCGCCAAATAAGGGGGCTGGAGAGAGGAGGAGGGCTGTTTAAGCTCCGAAGCTCCGAAATGAACGGATATCTGTCAAAATAACTGACGCTTCTGGTGAGATTGTGTGACTGTTGCCGGCTCGTTAAGGCGTTCTATAGGCCTGGATACACGCTCAAATTTCCATCAATTTTCGATCAAATGGTGACTTATGCGCACCCTCTGGTGTCAATTTTTTGCGGCCTGCAAAAATTTGATGGTAGATGATGGAACTGGAGGTCTCATCCGTCATCTGATTCCCACACAACAGTGCTTATTCTATGCTTATTTCAATCAACACGCTGTTTTAATTCATTTTAGATACCAATTTAGATAACGCTCGGCCGCCATTTTGTCATCATTTTTATCGTAAATTGACGGAAATTTGAGCGAGTATCCAGGCCTTATCAACATACAACATATCTGCGATAAGGAGAGAAATTTAGTTTCAAATCGGGCGATAAAACTATGCACGAAGAAAGGAACTGATGGTACGTA